GAGAATTCCCACTGCAAATGGGATGGAGGCCCTAGAGAGTGTGGATGAGGAGAGGAGAGCCACACACAGCAAACAGACCCAGAGCAGCCATCTCTTCCCTTGCCAGGTAGGCAGATATAAATGCCTGAGCGGGCTACATCCCTGGGACAGGCCAAAACACCCTTTAGAGAAGGAAAACAAGCTCTATCAGTAACAGTGCACTCCTGCAGATAAGTGCTCCTGCAGCTGGGACTTGTGCTGGCACAGCTCTGTCAGTCACGGGTCACGCTCCGTCACCGCACGCACGCAGAGCTGTGCCACCACAAGTCGGGCTGGGAAACTCTGCTAAGTTTGGCCTTTTTCCTGCTGCAGCCGAGGTAAAGCTTGTCCAGCAGTCTGCTCGTGGGGAGTCTCACCCCTGACACATTAAGAGTTTGGCTTTCCAAGGACGGGAGAAAACGAAACTTTGCACGGGAACACCTATGGGCCATTTACACTTGAGTTTTATTCTTCAATTAAATGCACAAACTAAATGAGAAGGAGCCCCTGTAGGTAGAGATAAAAGAGAATAAATTAAATTGTGCTGTACTTCAGCACTCGGAGCAGCCCCCGCTTTTAATAGTAAGGAGGGAACAAAACTGAAAGTGTTTAACAGAGCACTGCAGAATTTCCTCTGCTCTGTGAAACCCACCAGGCACACTGCAACAGGGCTTCTGGCATCCTCAGCCACCTCTGGAGGAGATTTAATGCCCGAGTTCTGTTTGGGTGAACCGACACCATCCTGCAGGCTGGTGATGAGGATCATTACTCCAGAGCAGCGAGGTGGCAGCCGTGCACGCTGTCCATCTGCTCCAGAGCCAAATTCTAAAATCAGGCTCCCTAAAATTCCAAAATTCCTCGCTCGGTGGGCAGGGACACGAGGAGGGAGCAGGGCCTCGGGTCAGGCTGAAACAAAACTCAGTGTCCCGCCAGCCTGGATGTGCTGGGAGGCACGGCCAGCACGTGGCTGTGCCCGTGGATGCTGCCTTCCGCGACAGGGACGCTTGGCAGGAGCACCTTCCCTATTTTTCACAGGGAGAACACAGAAATAAAATGCTCCACAGCCCTCCAAACTGGGATACAGGATGATACAACGATTCTAGGAATTCCCTGGGTTGGGTCCGGTTGTTGTTAGGAATTATGGTCTATTTTTTACTTTTTAAAAATAAACACATCGCCATCACTTTGATGATCAGCCATGTCCGTGGGTGGGTGTTTGCCCCTCTAGGTTAGCTCTGAGTTGTGGGGGAGCGTCCCAGAGAGGGGAAGGCAGCGATGTGGATTTAATTGTAAAAAATGCCCTGCTCGGCCAAGGCCGTGTAAAATCCTTATCAGCACGGCAACTCAGGAGAGGTTGTACCTCCCCAAAACAAATACTCAGCCTATTCAAAGTTTCCAAAAAGGCCCGATAAAATCCACCGGTCTAAAGATTTCCAGAAGGTCAGATAAAATGTGGTCTGGCTGGGGAGCAACAGAGCCCTCCACCACATTTACCAGGAGCACTCGAGATAACAGTCCAGCCCCAGACTGTAACAAAACTCAGTGTTTAAGTGTGTGCTTTCATTTGCAAGCACCGGCGCCTGGGCTGGCAGCCCAGGTTTTATGGCAGGTGACACTCCTGTCATCCTCCTCCTACGGAACTGCTGCGGACCACTGAGAACCCGCTGGGAAAAGGCGGCAGGGCCAGCGTCTCCCCAAACACGCTAACCCCGAAAGTGCCCTCACCCCAAACACCACGCTGGGGGTCACCCACAGTGCCAGGCCAAGGTCCCAGCACGGCTCACGGAGGGGACTGGGGCCGGGACTCACCCCACGGCCAAATGTCACCCTGCAGCCACGCTGCACCTCATGGCTGGGATTAGCCCCGTGGTGGCTGAGGTTCACCTCAAGGCTGGGATTTGCCCCGTGACCGGGATTCACCCCACGGCAGGGCTTCACCCCGCGGCCGGGATCTGCCCCTCGGCTGGGGTTCACCCCGCGGCCGGGATCCGTCCCACGGCCGATCTTCCCCCCAGCCCCGGAACTGGCCCCACGAGCACGGCTCGCCCCACGGCCGCCACCCGCGGCATCCCCTCAGGAAGCTCCGGCTTGGGCCGCCGCGGCCTCCGGGGCCATCACCCCGCGGCGGGGGCCGTGCCCGCACCCCCGCACCGGCGGCCCGGCCGCGGCGCTGCCGGCGGGGCCCGACATGGCGGCGGGGCCGCTCCCGCCCGCTCTCACCTGCATGCGGCGCGGCGGGGCGGCGGGGCCGGCGGCGGCGCGGCGGGGCGGGCGCACACGACATGCGGGCGGCGGCCCGCGGGCAGCGGGGACGGAGCCGCGGGGCCCGGGCGGCGGCGGCGGCGGCGGCGGCGGCGGCGAGGAGGAGGAGGAGGAAGGAGAGGAGGAGGAGGAGGAGGAGCGGCGGCCGGGGCGCGCAGGGCGGAGGAGACGGGGGCGGGCGCGGGGAGGCGGCGGCGGGCGGTGCCGGGGCCGCGGCGGGGGGAGCGCGGGCACTCGCGGGGCCGTGACAGCGCGCACGGAGCAGCGGCGGCAGCGGCCCCGCAGGACAGCCCGGCCCCGGTAACCCCGCGGTTTTGCCCCTCCTTGTTTCCCTTTCGGTTTTCCTCCCCGCTGTCACCGCTAAAGCCCAGCGCCTCCCAGACACAGCCGCATCCCTTCGGTGGCCCGCTAGGACGGATATGGGGGAACGGTGGGTTGAGAGGTAAAATACGAGCGGCGGGGAGGGACGTGGGTCTGTGCGTGCCCGAGAGGGAGAACGGGACTGGGGGAAAAAAAAATGAAAAAAAGCGCCAGGGAGACCTAAGGAGTGTCTGAGGAAGCAACAAGTGGTCAGGGGAGCACAGGGAGGGACAAGACATCAGGCTTTGAGGCTTTTAATTGCAGTTTGCTTTTACTGCAGCTGCCTGAGCTCATGCTGGACCCGAAATGTTCATTGATGGCCGGAGAGCGGGAAGTGCCTCAGCGATGGAGCAAGGGGTAGGAAACAGGCTTTAGAGCCACTGAGGTACCGGGGATAGTGAGCATCATCTGTGAGCCCGTGTTTCTCCCAAAATCCGTGGTGCACAGCAGAGAGCTCCTGTGTGAAAAGCCAGAGGCTCACAGGGAATTGCGGGAAGCTGGCGAAGGACAGAGGTTAGCTGGCCACAGGTGCACACTGAGAGTCCTGTCACATCCACCATCCCTGCAGGAGTCACACGTGCCGAGTGCCCATCCAAAACAATTTCATTTACCCCCTTGAGTTTTAAACAAATGTTTGGCACTCCCCAGCTGAGGCTTTTGACTTGAGGAAGGTTCCTTTTCCTCCCATCGCCCTCGCATCTCCCCATCCCCATCCTTTCCCAGGACACTGAGCCAGGAGTTGGATTGGATGGACAGAGTTTTGTTACAACTTGTTTTACACAGCCCCCTGTGTCTCGTTTACAAATTCTTGGATCCATTGGGGAAGTTTACATAGCCACATGTCTCTAATATAAAAACTCTTGGACACACGCTGATTGGAGATGACTGGGGGATTTGAATGTTTTTAGTCCTAAGCACATCAGTGTGGAATAAAAGCTCCCTTTAACCGTTATATTTTGTGGTGTGAATCTGAATAGCTCAGGAGATGGTTCAACAAAGCCTTTTTAAGTGGATGCTGTTCCATGAGAGTGAATTACACGTCTTTTCCCACCCAATCCACAGGGCAATGGGGGCAAGATGGCAGCCAGGAAATCTGTTTTTGGAATTACACGTGGCTTGCAGCAGACAATAATGACCATTAGATGGGCAATATTCTCCAAACAGACGTAGCTAAACAGGAGTAAACGCCCCCACGTCTGAGGGCCGCGGCTCTGACTGCCCTCAGGAGTGGCCGCCATGTTGGTTTAGGGAAGGGGGACCACTTTGGGCTGCAGCGCTGCGAGACAACCCAGGGTTTGCCCTGAGGCCCCTCTCAGGCCGGTGAAGAAGCGAACTGGAGGCTTTTAACCAGACCCCGGCCATGGGTCACCTCTCCCCGTGCAGCGGGCAGGAGCTGGAACCCGGGCACCCGCGGAACGACATGTCCGGGCGCGGCGGGCGGGGGGGACGATGCTAAGTGGCACACCGCTGAAGCGCCCGGACCCGCGGGCCGCCGGAACGTTTCTTCTCGGCCTCGGGGAGGGCGTTCCGCGGGGACACTTGCGGCGGTGCACCAGGGCCGCTCGGCAAAATGGCGGCGCCCAGCGCCCGCTGCCTGTGGCGAGGTGAGGGGGCCGCGCTGAGGGACCCGCGGGCGCTGAGCCTGCCGCCACCTCTCCGTCTCCGCCCGCCGCTCTCGGGCGGCTCTGAGGGGTCTTTCCGGGCAGGCCGCGGGTGCGGGAGGTCGAGGCGATGTCTGAGGCGATGTTTGCTCTTGCCCCGCAGCACTGGCCCCGCGGTGCGGATGGGTCCTCCCCGGGCTGGAGCAGCGCCTCGCCGTCCCCGCCGTGGTGAGCCCTGCGAGCGCCCGGCCCTACGCGGCGGCAGCCAAGTGAGTGAGGGTCCGGCATGGCAGGAGGCTGCCTGGGCCGTGCGGGTGGTGCTGGGGACTGTGAGGGGGGCTTGGTGCCCGCAGTGCTGGTCCGACAGCTTGGACTCGCAGGGAGTGTTTTCTGTGATAATGGCACAGGGAAAGCTTCACGCTGTGGTTTTGGGCTGTGCTTTTGCGGGGTGTAGCAGGGTTACATGTCAATATGAGAGCTGGTGAGCTCCTGGAATCGGTTTCATAGCCTTCCTGTCCTTCAATTGGCTTTTTATTGTTTAATTTGTCATATCTGTAATAACGTGGCATGGCTGGGAGAAGCGAAAGCTCTGTTTACCTCTGTATACAGGAGAATGAAGTGTTCTCAAGTGCCACAGACTCTTGCTCTGCTTATAAAAAGAATAGGGTATCCAGTTATTATTTTAATAGTCTTTTTCTTGTCTGGAGACCCTCTGAGCATAGGGGAGGGGAATGAGAATTATGTTTTTAATCATCAAATATGCCAGACTCTCCAACTGACCTCCCAACACGTTTGGGGTTTTTTGGCCTTAGAACTGCCAAGAAGGATGCCCACAGGAGCAGGCAGGAGAAGGTGAAGGAGAAGCGCCCCCCTCGGCGGCGGCCGCTGATGAGCAAGCCCGTGGACGACGTGTACCTGACGTGGCTCTACAAGAGACCCTGCTACCAGCTGGAGCAGGCTGTGGGCATGCTCAAGAGCTTCCAGGAGCTGGACTTCACCCACCCCAAGCAGTTTGTGTACATCAACGTGTTCCTGGATATGGCACTGCAGAAGAAGGTGGGCTGGCAGAGGGTGTGGGAGTTCTGAGGGCTTTGGGTCTGCTCACACTTGGTCATTGTCACAGGCTGCAGTCCCTCACCTCCTTTGCATTTTCTTTTTTTTTCATATTTAGGGGACTCCAGCTCCCTGTGATTTTGTAACTTACTCTCAAGTCACAGTCTCTTCTTGTTTATTTTCTTTTTTTTTTTTTTTTTTTTTTTTTTTTTTGTTCATTTGCCAGAAAAAAGTGGATCCCTTTTCCGGCGCTGTCACTCTTCCCCATCGCTTTACAGATGAAGTGAACAAGGTTTTGGTGTTCACAGAGGTGGGTGAGCCAGGATTCCTTCATTTTCATTGGGTTTTTGTGTGTCCAGCACACTCTTGCAGCTCTCCTTTGCCAGTTAATCATTTTGTCTGTGTGAGATGATCCCAGGGAGCTGCCATGGGTTTATTTAATTACTCTTTGGACATAATTGTTTGAAATTCTCTCCCTGGGCTCGATTGACAGCACACCAGCTGCCTAATTGATAGTCCAGCTGTTTATAATTACTTCTTTCTCTCAACAGAATGAGCAAGAAGCTGAAGTAGCTCGAGAGCACGGAGCTGCCATCGTGGGAGGAGTTGAATTAATCAAATGGGTACATATTTTTCTTAAAGAATTACAGAAATACCCTAATTCAAACAGGGCTGAGGCCTGGGAATGGGAAGAGGCCTGATGTCCAGTGAGCTCTAGGTGGGAAGCAGCAGCCAGATGGGTTTCTGTGCTTTATTTGTCAGCTTCAATGAAATGTGTTGGATTGTGTTTGTTGCAGATCTTGGAGGATGAAATCCAGGCTGATTTCTACGTGGCTGTCCCTGCCATCATGCCCAAGTTAATTCCCCTGAGGAACAAACTGAGAAAGAAGTACCCTGCCACCAGGAGAAGTAAGGAGCAGCTCCTTGTTACAGCTGGTAGCAATTCCTGGAGGAGATGGAGCCCCTGGAAAGTTTTCTGCTGGGGATGTGTGGTTACATTTGGTGTTAGGCTGTAGGGGACTGCACCATCTGTCTTAGGTCAAGGTAACTTTAGGAATCCTTTTTTTCCTACACCAGGCAAATCTGGGATGAGAACCCAGATAAATTTTCCTGCTAGCTGCCCTTATGCTTATTAATCCTGATGAGTGGGGAAGGAGGGAACATGGAAACTATTTTTATAATCTGAGTGAGGAGACCATTGTCTTGTGTGTGAAACTGCATTTTGGAAGTTTCAAAACTTCCCAAGTTTTGCACTTGGGCATTCACTTGCCTTAATTAACAGATGGAATGATCTCTTAACTGATGCCACACCTATCTGTGCTAATGAGCATTACTCAGACAACTTCTTTGCTTTATTTTTTATTTTTATAATAGATTCCCTGGGCAGTGACATTCCCAAAATGCTGCAGTTCTTCAGAGAATGCCACGAGTACACGGTAGAGGACGAGAATATAATCAAGACCAGAATAGCCAGAGTAAGTTGTGGAGAGAGCTCCTAAATTCTCTCTCCTGAGCAGAACTGTAGTATTCAAAGAGGGGGAAAAACGTGGTTTTAATCTGTGTCTCAAAATTTTGGATCATTTTCTTTAAGTAACCTGTGAAGAAAATAGAACTCTTTGTTGTGTGGCATCTTCAGCTGGTTTTAAACTTTTCTGTTGTTTTTTTATTTTTTTGGGAAGTAACTAAACTATGGGTTTGTAAGTCCATGGTCAATATGCCCAGGAGAGTCCAAAAGTCTTTGCTTGAACCAAATAATTAAAGACTTCTAATTTCGATAACAATAGTGCTGGACTGGAGTAGAAAGCAAGAACTGTTTGTGTTACCCCTGAAATAAAGCATTAATTTTGGCTTATTTATTTATTTTCTCTGCCCTAAGCTGTGGGTTTTTTTTGTTTTCCTTCTGGTTTGTGTCTTTGTAATCCTGCCTGATGTTCAGTTTTCCTCTAACTGAGGGTGGCACAGGCAGGAAGGGTAGGAAATACTTGAAGCCTGAAGCTTTGCTTGGCAATGTTGGAGACAAATGAGTTTATTAATTGTGATTAACTGCTCTGAGCTGTGCATGGGCATTCCTTGTGTCTATTTCTGTGTATAGTTGGAATTCTGGATCTTGCTTTTGAGGGATTCAAACGTATTTAAGAAATGAAAAGGGAAGAAATAATTTACCTGAGCCTTTTTACAGCACCCTGTGCAGCTTTGGAGAGAAGTGTTCAAAACTTCAAACAGAAAGATAGGTGTGCATCCACAAGGATTTCAGATTTTTGCAAAACCACTTGTGTTTATCTTGATTTTTTTTTTTTTTAATTTTCTCACCCTCTTAAGGCTACATGTTGTTACAGAGCCCTGGGAATTTTGTATCCTGAGTAGAAATATGGAGACCAGTGAGCATATCAGCCTGTATAAAAGACTTTTTTTCCCTGAATCGTTTGGATAAGGCTGTTTAATGGGATCTGTCACTCCTTCACAGGGAACATGGACAAAGGACATCTGTCCAAATGTAGAGTAAACATAAACACCAGTGCTTTCATTTATTAATCTGGGTTTATTAATTTATTCATCTGGGCTCCAGGCATCACAATGACTAACTTGGCCTTGTCCTTTTGCAGCTGGATATGCCAACTGAGCACATAATTGCCAATCTGAAAACAATTATCCATGATATCTGCACCTTCAAGCCATCCAATTTTGGTAAGGAGTTCTTGTTCTAACGTGGTTGTTCAGGTTGCAGCAAAGAAAAGTGGTAGATGAGTGTTAAATTATTTTCTGTTCTCAAAGGATCCCTGAAATTCCTGCTCCTCCAAGGGAAAAGTCTTTCTTTCTTCCTTTTTCTTTTTTTTTTAATTCCTTAGCAGAAGGAGCTAGAAAAGAATAATTAAGTCAACTTTAAGCAAAGGGCATCTGCTTAGCTGGAGAGGAAATGGTGATTAATAAAATAATTTTAGAGAAGGAGCTTTGTGTAAGCTAGAAATCCACTTTTTTTGTGTTAATATTTGCTTAATGTCTTCCAGAAGAATGATCTTGCCTCTTTCCCAGTGAAGCTGTTCATAGTAGCTGTAGAGGTCAGACCATAGAAAATTAAATACACTCACCTTGAGATGCCCAAGTAAAAACTGTAAGGGGTTGCCTGACTTAAGTAGATAGAGAAAAGGGATGTTTTGCCTTGTTTTGTTGGGTTTTTTTTTAAGAATTTAAGTTTACATCAGTCCATTTTAGCAAGGATTAGCTTTTCTGGTCTGAGAATAGCTTTTCTACTGATTTAGAGTATCAAACTTGATTCTTGTGGTGTTGTTTTAATTGCAAACATTTGCTGGGAGCAGCTGGGGGACGTGGGAAGGGGTGGAGTGACCAGTTTGGTGGTGCCCTTTGTTTCCCAGATCCCATTGTGAGGAGGTTGGTTATCAGATCTTCCACCAGTGAAGGTTTGCTGCTGAACCTCGATGGAATCCTACCTCAGGTGGAGAAAGTGGAAGAAAAAGAAGAGGAAAATGCAGCTGATGAGGATCAACCAAAGCCTGTCCAAGAATCTGTTAGTACCTGATGTCTTTTCCTGGGAAATCTGGTGGTCGAGCTCGGCAAGCAAATGGTGTAATTTCAAATCATGCCCTGTGAGAACAGAAAAATAAATGTAAATTGTGGATTTCACGTATAAATTCCTGTGTGACGCTGTGACAAACAGGAGCCTGTTGTCAGAACCAGACGGATGTGTGTTCTAAGGCAGAAGTGGAGGTGTTTAGTGCGGGGAGGAGAGCTTGCTCTGTTTTTTTGGGATGTGAAGCTGGAGAGCCGGCTCCCTTTCCCCGTGTTTGCTGCTTTCTATCCAGGAGGTGGCGCTCCCGCCCTTCCCTCCTGGAGAGCTGTTGGAATTTCTCCTTGGGTGGTTTTTTTGGAGGCTCTGTCGCTAAACGCGTGTTCACAAAGCTGCGCCCCGAAATATAAGATGTTCCCAGAAAGGATTGGCTATTTACAACGGGGATGATTTCCAGATTTACAAATCTGGAAAGGTTTGTGGTTTTAAATCATCCCTATTATTGGAAGTTTTTCCAAGAGGTTACTGGGATCTGTCTGCATGGAAATTCTTTTAGCTCCCATCTGAAGCATTTGGCTGCTGTCAGTCAGGGTGACCAATTCCTGTCAGGCCACGCTGATTATTTTTGGTTGTGTGGGGTGCTTTGCTCAGAGTTTGGTCAGAAAATTCTCTTTAGGTGTGTACAGGAAGGTTTCACACTGACATAACAGACTTTCCATGCTGTAAGTGGGAAAAGCAATGCCAGTGCACTTGAATATCTTTATTGCTAAGGCATTACACATAGAAGGAATATTATGAGGTATTCCAATGATTGTGTGTTGTTTGTGACCCAAAAGGAGCAATTTGAAGGTGAGTTACCTGTTGGTGTAGAAAAGAAAACCCTGTGGTATCATCTGCGTGGATTCCTTTGCCTTTTCTCTGTGCTCTTGGCTTATTTCCAAGACTTTACTATCCATTTTGGAAAAAGATAGGACTGCCCTCTTTGATGGGTGGATTTAAAAAAAAAAAAAGTGATGCTTAAGCATAAATGTACAGGTGAGCTTAAATCAGAAGCTGTGAGACTGCTGAGTGTGCTCTCAGAGGATGAAAGCATAGAATAACAAACGTTCCTGCAGGATTGGGCACTTGGAAAACCCCAGTAGTGTGGGGACACAGGAAATCTGGACCTCTGGAGGTCAGGTGGGCAAGAGAAGCAGCTCATGGGCTCAGCAAATTTCGAGTTGTGAACTCGTGTCACTGCAGTCCTGATTGCTGGAGGAGTAATGCCCCTGCTCTGTGCTGTGCTGTACAAGCTGTTGGGTGCAGTGTGACTTCTTTTTATCCTGGAATGCTTGGAGAGATGAAAGGGAGGAAGACACCATGAGATGATTTCCTCTTCAATAAGCTTAGTCCCCAGACGTGCAGAGTGGGACTTGTACGTGTGGCTCTGGGGCCAGTGTGTCTTAGGAATCACTTGAATTGTCACACTGAGCGTGGCTGCAGTGACATTGCTGGTTTCTGGAAACCACTGTGGAAGAGAGGCAGCACTGCAGCACCTTTAGCAATGCAGATGATGTATGCTGGCTTTTAGGTTTGTTTTATCTGAACCTGCTGTTAGTTTAACTAAGGAGAAGAGCTGGGATTCACAGTTAGTGCACACAGAAGAAACATTTGCCCAAACAAGGAAGAAGTTGTCCTAGGAGCCTGTGTGCAGTTGTGGGGAGTGCAGGGTTTAGGCTGACACTCAGCCTCAACCTGGACTTGTAGGGGAATTTGTTAAAAAACCTGCAATCTGTGTGGGTCAAACTGAGTTCACGAGGCTTGTGCTGTGAGTTAGAGGAGCAGGGCAGGGATGTTAGAGCTGCCACCGGGGCTGACAGGTTTTTAGTGCTGAGATGGGTGTTCTGAATGATTAAATATGATTACATGACCATGTTCTGCAATACTGTTGGTCTTGGCTGCCTCCAAACTCTGGGAGAGGCTAATTCCATAGCCAAAAATCTGTCCTTGTGGGAAAACATGGATTGACTGAAATAGGACAGAGGTGGGGGGAAAAGCTCTTGATGCTGACTAAAAACACTGTTAGGGATAAACATAATTCTTGTGCAAGCAGTTATTTCTGTCAGTACCTCAGCTGGCAGGTGGCTAGAGGCTTCATCCCAGCAGGACACGAAGGGAGAATTGTCAGTGTGTCACCTGCAAGACTACTTGGAAAACAAGAGGAAAATGCCAGCCTTCCCAAAATTCCAGGTACTTGGAGCTGCTGGGTTAAGGTCACACGTGGTGACAGTGCAATGCCATATTGTTTTCATGGACTAACCTCATGGATTTAAAAAGGCTTGTTAAAAAAAATTGTCAACCACCCAGTTAAAACCTGGAAGTGGGGAATTCACATAAAAACTCGTTGGCTTGCCTTCTCAAAGCCATGTTTCTGCAGCTCTTCTGTGGAACTGTGTGCCAGCACATGCCCAGCTTTCCAGGAACACAAGGTATGTCTGGCTCCAATCTTTGCAGCCAGGGATTTGCCAAGTGGAGAAATGCATCTTTCACACCAACTTGCAGAAAAGTGACCTCTGCCGAGAGGCTTGATGAAAGGGAAGCTAAAAGTGGTGTATTTCTACAGTCCCAGTGAATTTTTGTGCCAGTATTTCTAAAATCCATGGCAGCAGCTGACAGCTGGGTCATTGCTTTGTAAGCTGCACCCTTCAGGCTGTCAGCCTGAGAAATACCTCATATTTCACCTGACTCTGAAACTTATTTTATAATTTTATTTACTGCTAATCTGGAAATAGAACAGAAACGTTGCTTTTGTGTTAAATAGGATGTGAAGGGCAAAACTTAACCAGACTTGGAATTTTTGAAAATTTCAAGTCTTTTGCACCATGTGCAAAACTTGAGAAATGCTGGAAGTTAGTGTTTTCTAGAGAAAAATGTGGAATGGGTGAATCTGAAAAATTATGCAAGTGGTGGGTCTTGAGTTGTTCTCACTTTGAACAGCATCTTTGGAGCACTGTTCTCAGAACAGCAGGAGGGAAGGTTGGAGAAATAGGAAGGAGGAGGCTGTAGCTGGACTAGGGAAACAAGTTGTACAGGCAGGAAGATGAACACCAGAAATCATTTAAAAATGGACTTGACACATTTATTTGAAGTTACTGAACCCTCTGTGGGCTTGACTTTTATGAATTCTATCTGTTCTTAGTTGCTGGTGCTTCTGTGAGTTTGGTGAAATTGTCCAGAGTTTGACCTGAGGAGTTAGAAGGGAATTGGAGCTTGGGTATTTCTTCCTTCTGTCATTTCTACTGTATTTGAAATAGACACGAAATATTTCTTGCTCAGTGCTGGTGTGTGCAGAGGAACTTGTTGTGTCTCCCTGCTCCTGTTTTTCCACGCTGTACATTTCGCTTCTCACTTTTGTTGCGGGAGTTCCAGCACAGTGATTAAAGACTTACAGGCCTGGGGAGAAAAAAAAAAAAAAGTAAATCTGGCCTCCAACTCGGAGTTCAAGATGGTAGTGTTCATTAGGGAGTCAATCAAAACTGAACAGATGGAATTACCACGGGGAATTATTGTCAAATTGAGCTGCCATCGTTGCATTTAATCAGGAAAGCAGGAGATGAAGGCAGCAGCAGCCCAGCCCTGTGCAACCAACTGCTCTGTGGGACCTGGGATACTGCTATGAAGCAGGAACGCTGAAATTAGCGAAAAAAACCCATTTCATTCACAGACTGGTAAAATAAACTCACTTTCCGAGTTCATTTTAATTTGAGGCTTTTGCTTGTAGCAGTTTAGTGGCTGTAACTTCCGACTTGGGGCTGTTTTTCTTTATCCTGTGACATGTAGGAGCCAAACTTTCCTTTGGAAGCGCTGGCTCTGAGATGTGTTGAGTGTGCAGTGCTGGAGGGCTGACATGGGAAGCTTTCCTGGAGTGGACATAGCACTTAATGTGTGTGGAGGTGTTTAAAGCAGGAAAACACTGTAAGGGCAACAGTTTAACTGGAGTTTTGGTTGGGTTTTCTTGTTTTTTTTTTTTTTTTTTGTTTTAGTTTGAGAGCTTGGTGCGTGATTGCTCGTGTTTGAGTCTTTAACTCTTGCTTGGATTTGCTCTCGAAAGGAAGAGCAAAGCAGCCATGGCAAGAAGAAATAGACATGGAAACAGACCGGACTTTGATACTTCTTGTTCCAATCCTACAACCCAAACCACAACTAATTAAAAGCTCCCAAGCCCGGGGAGAGGGTGACCTCTCCCTTCCATCCCCGGGGATGGATCAAGCCCGTGGGGTCAGACCCAGCACAAACACGTTCGCTTTGCCTAATCCCGGCACTGCCGCGGCTGGGACGGGCTGCGGGAATCCCGGCGGCTGCTCCATCGCCCGGCAGCCGGCGGGGGGGAGGAGGAGAAGCCAGGATGGGGATGCTCCGTCCCCCCGGCGCAAGGTGCCGATGAGGAGGAGGAGGAGAGGCTGGCGGTGCCGGGAGGAAGGAGGGCGCAGCGCAGCGCTGCCCGGGGCGGGGCGGGGGGCGGGCGGGCTGCGCGGCGGAGCTGCCCCTTTGTCTGCGGGCAAACTTTGGTGGCGGGGCGGGGGCGCAGGAGCTGCCCCGGCACCTGCCGCGGGCCCGGCGGGCACTCCCGGCTCGCTGCTCGCCGCTCGGGGCCATGGGCGACCCGAGCACCGCCAGGGCCACCCCGCTCCTGCTGCTGCTGCTGCCGCTCCTGCCCAGCGCCGCGCCGGCCGATGCCGCCTCAGGTGAGTGAGTGGCCGCGCCGGGAGCGTCCCCGTCCCGGGGCGATGGGATCCGTGAGGGGAAAGAGGCTCCGAGCCGTCCCTTGCCGCGGCTCCGAGACGGCTGAGCCTCCCTGGCTGCCCTGTGGCGCTCCCGGCCCGGGCGGGGGTCCGCCTCCGCCCCCCGCCATTTTGGCGGCTTCTCCACAGCCGAGGTGTGAGGGGGCACCGGGGCGAAGCCGTGCCCGGCCCTTCCCGCCGGGGAGCTGCGGAGTGCCGGGCATGGAGCAACGCGTGTCCCGCTGCGGGCATCCCTCAGGCAGCCCTGGCCGTGCCCAGGTGAGGGGGTGCTGGCCCCGAAGGGCGAGCGGGGCCGGAGTTGTGCGAGCCCGCAGCGAAGAGCCCGTGAGGGGCCGGGCCGGGCTGAGCCCTCACACAGCCCGCGGGTGGGCAGCGCTCGGGAATGCGGCGGTGGGAGCTGGGCAGCGTGAGGGGAGCTCTCCTCTCCTCTCCTCTCCTCTCCTCTCCCCGTGTGAGGAGGAGGAGCTGGGTCCAACTTGGATGTGCGGTGGGAGCGCTCGGAGACACCGGGGTTTGTGGCCAGCGCACGGTGTGCTGTGCCGTGCTGCTGCCGGGATCCCGGGGCTCGGCCGCCTTCGTGCTCTAAGGTTGTTCTCAGCCTGTCCTTTGCATGGAGGTTGGTGGTTTCCAAAGTGGCGCTCTCCCCAAATCCTGCTCCCGCCGCGGTTCCCGTTTGGCACATTCATTTCATTATTAACAGCACTTAAACCCGGCCATGTGTGTGCGAGCTGAGGAGCTGCTAGGTGTGGGTTTGGGGTATTAACTCTCTGACAGACTTCAGTGCTGCCAAAAAGAAAAGCTCTCGATCCAGAAAAACTACACTACCAACAACCTGCATCCAAGATGTCCCCCACCAAAATAGCACAGCGATAATAAGCCTGGGGCTTTCATCTTTGGGTGCTGCAGTATGTGAGAGCCGTAATTTGCACAATGCTTTTCAGGTGTGCTTTGCAACAGGTGTTGATAGCACCTGGGACTTGGAGTTGCATGGAAAATCAGGGCAGTGTTGCGCAGCAGCCTTAATTAGTGTGTGTTTAGTGTTTGCTGCTCGCTCATAATTGGGCACGAAAGTAAAATTTGTTGTAACTACGGATTTTCCAAATCCTGCAAAGCTGGGTTATATCTTAGTATCCCTTGGTAGCTTTATCTTTGAGATATGTCTTTGCCCTCCTTGGGGAAGAAGGGTCACATTTTGTGGGTTTTTGCTTTTTAGTCCTACATGGTCCCTATTCCCTGCTCTGGCCCCAAAGGGGATGAGCACAGGGTATTTTAAGGAGCTATAGCTGTCAGTGAGCTAAAAAGAAAAGGCAGCCAGCCCTGGAGGGTAAAACAGATGGGTTGTGCTGGTTCTTAGTAACTGATAGTAAGTTTTGGGATTTTTTTTTCCACCCCTCTCCCATGCTTTCCAACAATGTGTGCCCCTGTGTTTTGCACTGAATTTTGAGGTGCAGCTGGATGATGAACCTTGAAATGATATTCTCTTGCCAAAAGAGCAGCTATTTGCTGAATTTGAGAGAAGCGTGACGGGGCTCCTGTGGCTCATCTTGGCAAAGGAAAATAATTCCCGATGGTTCCTCCACGGGCTCTCGCAGCTGAGCTGAAGACGAGCTCAAAGGAGGAGCTTTTGATTCTGAGAAATGTAGCTCTCAGGTTTTCTGTACAGATTTGTCTAATCTGCATTTCTCGGGAAACTCTGCTCTTGGACAAGGAAATTCTGACTTTTCCCGGGTGGTCCCTCGAGGCACCTCTTTGCTTTTCATCTTGGAGTTCCTTGGGTTGTTGTTGCTTGCACATTCTCCTCACGCTTTTGGGAGACAGATAATGTGTAGTTACTCAAGAACAACCATTTCCCGGGAAATCGATGGAAGAGCTGTCATTCAGCTTATTCGTGGTTTTACTGCCTAACCTTTTATTTGATGATTGGGGTAGAATATGGGCAGTGTGCTTGGACGGGTGATTCCCTCTGTCCCTGGCTTGGGGCAGCTTTCTCTCAGTGCCACTGGGGAGGGCCAGGAAGGCTGAAGCAGGAGGAGCCCTGTGAGCCTGTCCTGTTGTCCATGCAGGAGTGATTTAGGAGTGCCAATTCACACTGGCTCCTCTCACTGTTATTTTGGCACGTCTTCTCTTTGGTCTCTGCCTTGTTGGTGCCTCTTTTGGGCCCGAGGTCCTGTCCCTTATCCAGAGGCTGCCCAGCTGCCCCAAAACTGCATTTTTTGTGGCTGCCCAGTGCTGCTGGTGTTGTGACAGAGCAGGTTCACTGGAGGATGTGCTGCTGCTGTTACTTGTTTCTAACCTGGTTTATTTTTGCTTTGGTCCCTCAGGTGCCTGTGTCTACCACGGCTTCTCCTTTGAGGTAGGTGAGCATGAACATGGTGTGCTGGGCAAGGGTTTGAGATGACGCTGTTGGACTTGACTCCAGTCCCTGCTTTTTGTCTCCCCTGTGACTGGGGTGCAGGTCCCAGGTCTGTCAGCTTCCAGTCTGCTGGAAAACACACACCTCTCTCCTTGGAGAGGCTGGGAATTCTCCCCGGGCCTTTGGACCCAGCCAGTCTAAGTGGGTGAAGAGAGGCCAGGGCTTTCCCAAGTGTTGGAAACCACAGACGTGCAGTCGCAGGCAGGATGGAGGTGGTGCCTTGTGCAACACCGGTGCAGTGCCAGGGTACGATCTGTGTTTGTTTGCCTGAGTTAATGAGCTGTTAATGACAACAGCTTAACACTTTTCCTTAGCTGATCACGGTGAGTCTGGTGTACCCTGACTCATCCTTACAAACCCAACCCTGGTGTCTCTAGAAATGTAATCCACGAGTGACTTGGTACAAGGATCACAGTTTTTAAGAATTGATGAACAGTGTTTTGCTGGCTAACGCTTGTCTGCCTTGCTCTGCTACTCCGGGCTAAAAGGAGGTGGCTGAGCTCCTTTGTGTCTCTGGAGAATGCTTCTGGACCTGCTTCCATTCCCACAGCAGCCTGGCTCGGGGATTTGTTAGCCAAGGAGGGGAGGCAGCAGCTGTGGGGGGTTTTGTTTCCCCTGGAGCAGAGCTGGATGTGTGCTCTGTGACTCGGGGCCACTGTGGAAACAGCTGGTGGCAGGTGACTCCTCTGGCCTTCCAAGGTGGGTTCAAGGTCCAGGAAGTTTCCCTGCTCCAAGAAGGAAAGTTTGATCAACTGAGGATCAAACTGAAGGAAATTGCTAGAGGGGACTGTTTTTGCTGGGTGGCTTGGGGGGAATTGAGGCAGGCTAAATGTGTTTGCTCCTCTTAATGATGTGCTGTGGAGGGTCTTGACAGCCCCCAAAAGAAACCTGTGGCAACTTTTTATTGTGTGTAAAGGATGCTTGGAAAGACTGTTTCCTTTCAGTGTCTCCAGTTAGTCAGGGTTTTTCCCCATGTTTGGAGTAGAGGAGGCCAGGATTAGAGGGATGGAGCACCATGAGGAGAAGCTGAGAGAACTGGAATTGTCCAGCCTGGAGAGGAGAAGCCTTGGGGTGACCTAGGTGTGGCCTTCCAGTGCCTGAAGGGAACATAAAATAAAAGATGGAGAGAGATTGTTTCAAAGGGATGGAGTGACAGGACAAGGGGGAATGGATTCAAGCCAACAGTGAGGGTTGGTTTAGATTGGATATTGGAAGGAAATTGTTCCCTGTGAGGGTCCTGAGGCTCTGGCAGAAGCTGTGACTGCCTCTGGATCCCTGGAAATGTCCAGGACCAGGCTGGGCAGGGCTTGGATCAGTCAGGGATAGGGGGAGCATCTCTCTGAGTGTCATTGCCAACTGTGTGCAGGTCTTGGTGTTCCTGCTTTGGCTTCTCCTGCCAGGGAATTTTCAGCTCCACACAACCACACAGCTTCTCCCTTTATTTAGAGCAAAATCCACTTCGTTTTTTGGTAGCTGTAGGGCATGAGGAGACAGCCTGATGTCACTGTGAAAGTCAGGGAGTGTGGGAGGTGCTGAGCAAATCCACACTGGGCGTTTGTGCCAGCTGGCTCCTGCCAAGGGGAGGGGAAAAGGGGAGGGCAGGGACAGGGCTGTGCCTTCAGGTGCTTTGGATGCTGAGTGTGACTTGAAAAATGATTTTGTGTCTGGTAGGGGCTGCAGCATGGAAGGACAAGTCCAGCTGGGCAAAATCCAGCACGTTTTCATTTTGTCCTCTTTAAAACACAGGTGTTGTCTGTGGCACCAGGTAGTGCACCTGAGGATGGATGTCTGGGCTGGCAGGTTCTTTTGGAAATTTCCTGAGAAAATTCCTAGGGTGCTTTGTTTTAACCCCATAAAGCACTAAAAAAGCATTTTTGGGAAAGAAAGTGGTTTTAATCTTTGGGTGGAAAATTGTGGGCAGAATAAAAAGCCCTAGCTTAATTCACAGTAAATGGTAGTGGACTTGTGCTTCTACCAAAAATTTTGCTTCCCTGTTTCCTTTTGAAACATGTGTGTATATTTTGTTGTCAGAAGTTTAAAGAAATCCTGATTTTTATGCTTTTTAAATCAGATTTCTGTTTCCATCAGTGGTTTGTGCTGGACAGAAATGAGAGTGGGAGGTAATAAAAAATGCTGGGATTTTTTTTCCCCCTCCAAATTTTAAATCTCCTATTCCAAATAGCTTCTACTCTGAATAAATTCAGTGACTTTTAAAATAAATGTTAGCAAGTGCAGAGCACTTCTGGTTGGGGAATATGCCAAATTAGCAGTGGAAAATGAGCTTCATTTTAATTTCATTAGAAAGATAAAAAGTTACTAGTGAAAAATGAGATCAGAATGAATATTTGAGTTGAAAGGTTTGCTTGCTAACTCTTACAACAGTCGAGATCTTTTTGTTTTTAAATAATGTGATTTAAATGCCACTGCTTAGTCTGGGGCTGCATCCTCTGGATGTACATGAATGTTTTGCAGTTAACATGTATTAATTCAGCAATGCCTCTCGTGGAGCAAATCTCATCTGATTGTGGGTTTCAGAAAGCTGGGATCAACTGAGGATCAAAAATAAAAGTGATTTTTGAATCGAGCTTGTGCTGTATGTGTGTCCCTTCTTTGTTTTCTTTAAAAACAGCAGTGACATACAGAGGGATGGGGATAGGCTCTTAATTTCATGGTATCAGGGAAAAGAACCTGAAATGTAAGATTTTTCTCCTGAGGATGCAGTGAATTCCTGCCCCTTCATCAGCAAATGAAGGGGACAGAGGCACACATTTTAATACAAAATAATTTATATTTTTTATTTTAGTGCTTCAAAATGTCCCCTTCTTGTCCAAGCAAACGAGCTCTGATGCAGAGGCAGCGTCTCTGCATTCCCCCTGAGCCTGGAGCTGGGCAGGGGTTTTAGATCCAGGGTCTGGGAGCAGCAGTGGCACCAGCAGGGCCCTCTCCTGGATAACCACGTCCCTTTGCCATGTCTGTGCTTACCCTGAGGTGATTTATCTCCCCAGCTATTTCACAGCAGGCTGCAAATATGGAATTGATCATCACCTTCCCTCCTCTCCGACCCTTGCATGTGCCTGTGTTTATTCACAGCACACTCCCTGCTCAGAGCTTGTTCTTTTTCCTCCTTTTTTTCCTCTTTGGGTCTCATGTTCCAGCAGCCCAGCACTGGAGTTGAGTTGTCCATGCACATTTGAGAGCAGCCATTGGCCCCGTGCTGGAATCTCTGGGTGCCCTTCCTGAACAGCCAGGTACATGCAGGGTTTTTTGGCAAGAAGGGATTTTAAAACAGCTCCTCTTTGCTTTGGATAGGAGAAATTCATAAACTGCAAGAGAATTGTGGGAGTTGTGGAGCTTTTGAGCTCCAGTCTGAGACTGTGGGCTGTCCATGAGGATTTCTCCTTGGAGCTGTGAGTGTCTGTTGTGCTCCAGAGGTCTTTGTTCTCCATCCTGCAGGTGAAACGTTCCTGCCTTAATCCTCAGTGTGTTGTGGGAGGTCATCTGGCATCAGCTTTCCTTGGAGATCAGGGTCTTTACCAGAGCTGCCCTGTTGCACATTTTCCATCCCAGTGAGTGTCCAGGGTGGGAGCTGCTGCTCCCCAGAGCTGCCTGAAGTAGATGATTAACATTTAATGACACAGTTAGAGGAGTGGTGTGCCACAGCCTTGGCACGAGATCCTGGCTTTCCCATGGATTCATTCACCGGGACAGGAATTCAACAATTACCCAGCCTTTAGAAATTGTCCAAGCCTTTGTGCATTCCATCCTTTCAGGATGCATTTGAAGAGCTCTGTTTAGGAATTCACACCTTACAATTCATCATCGACTTTTTCTTTTTAAATCCCCACCATGCAAAATGTCTTTTTCCTTTGCTGGGTCTCTTCCTCATTCCTTCCCTCTCCTTGACCTTTTCAGAACCTTGGTCAGGATTCCCATTTGCATTTTTCTCTTTAGAGGAGGGGTTGCAATGTGTAAGTAATTGGTCAGAGAAATTTTAGAACTTTGCTGTACCTTTTCAGTGATCTCCAAAGAGCTTAAGGATTTTGTGAGATAACTGAGGAAAGTGGATCCCCAGTTTGCTGGCAAAAACTCCCAAATCTGAAGCTCTTCCCACTGGTTTTGTGTCACCCCTCGGCTCTGCCAGCCTGGGGAGGGCTCTCAGGAGCCCTGTGGTGCTCTCAAGTTGTGATGCCAATATTTCTGCCATGCATATGAAACAGCTTCCAGGGGGAATGCAGGCTACAGGCTTCCCTGGGAAGACTGCTGTAATTCTGCTTCATTGCTGAGCTGTGGATTAAGGAGAGCCATTAGGATAAAATACTCGGGTTTGTAATCATTGTATCTACTCCAGAATCATTGTGTAATGAATCCTCTCACTAACCCTGGGAGCTCAGCATCCAAAGCATCTCTGTATTACCAGCTGAAGGAGAGTCCCAGGCTCTGTGTTTCTGAGGATCAGCCAGGGGGGGAAAAATCCTCTCCTTCCTACCTCAAAAGATAAATCCTGAACATGACTTCTTCCCAGATTAATTTCAATAATTTTAAGCCATATGTTTCGTTACTCAAAAAAAAAAAAAAAAATTCGTTTCCTAACCTGCTTTGCGTGTGTTTTATGGAGATCAAAGTGAAATCTCTTGCAGGCTGAAAACTGGGAAATTTTAGTTTAAGTGTAATATAAATTTTTGAGGATATCAACAGGAGCTCAAAGTTAGGGTCTTGCAGCAGGATGGCAAAGATAAGAAACTTGTACCCTTGGGTTATCAAAGCAGAGATCTTGTTTGTAACAGAATGGCTCCTTAAAAATCAGAACCTTTTCCTTTGCTGGCAATTCACCTGTTGTCCTGGATAGATTTGGTCATGGCCATGTGGCATAAATCCCCTTTGGCTGCTTAGCCAGCTCCAGACTGATGTGCCATACACGAGGTGGCTGTTCCTGTTTGCAG